TGCCTCCAGGATGCCTACCTAGGGAGGTGTTCCATGCAAGTCCCACTGGGAGGAGGCCTCAGGAAAGCCCCAGGACACACTGGAGGGACTATGGCTGTTTCTCAATATGCATATTTCAGCGGTCTTAAGTCCTCGTGTTCTCATGTAACGTCATCATCAGCTGCCAAAGTTAGTTCCAATACTTAAGACTGCAAGAACAGAGGACGAGTGAAACTTCCTGGATGTGCTCTTGATATCGAGGACGCACCAATGCAGACTCGAGCACTGATCTCGCTCTAGAAGTCCCAGAGATCATTGCGACTGGAGGTTGGAAGCGCAGCATTTTATTTAAAGTTATTATTAAAGTTCAGAGATATAACCTATTTACTTCAGGAGTTTCCCTAAATGAAATGGTGAAAGTAAACATTACCATAGGCATCTTAATAAAGGAATAAAGACATTCAGGGTGTTTGTTTGCTGAAATTCATATTAAAATCTGTTTTATTTATATTGTACAAACTTATATTTATGATGTTTTTATGCATAGTATATATTTTGAAAAGAGGAAAATCAATATATCATTGTATGAATGCTATAATGCTTAAATAATTTTCTATTTAAAACACGTGAAGGTCACGTGACCATCAGGAAGAACGCAGCATCTCATTTCTCACAGGATGCATTCTCTGTTCTCGTGGTCTCCTGAGTTCGTTCTTCCGTGAACTTCTGGCAAGACCGCTCTCCACAAGAGCGCAAGTCTATTCTCTGCGTTCTTGAAATTGAGAAACAGCCTATGTCTCTCAGCTGGCCTGGGAACGCCTCGGGATCCACCCGGAGGAGCTGGAGGAAGTGTCTGGAGAGAGGGAAGTCTGGAGTTCTCTTCTAAGACTGCTGCCGCCGCGACCCATTATAAGGAGATGAAAATGACATGACACATGACATTACAAATTTCAGTGGAATGGACGTAAAGCAATTAAAAATTATGTTGTTTCAGCTCATTTTAAATAAGTAGTTTTAACTAAAAGCAAATGTAGAGTGTATTTGGAGGTATGCATAATTAGAGCTGAACCACTAAAGTCACATGTAGTGATTTGACAAGATTTCAGGATCCTTTTCTGGACTTTCAAAGTCTTGCTGTCTATGGAGGATGAGAGAGCTCACAAAATTCACCTTAAATAGTTTCATTTGGGTTCTGAAGATAAACATCAGGGAAATGGAAGTATATGAGGGCAAGTCATTAATTACAGGATATAATTTTTTGGGTGAACTAACGCTTTAAGTGTTTGAATTAACTTGTGTTACTCAACAGACCTTTGTAGCTTGAGAAAGCTGCATTTAACAAGCCACCGAGAGCTTGATATAAAAAACATTGGCCACTTAATGCCCACTAGGGGCTCAGAAATTAAACACTGCACTGACCACTTCAACTAAAACCGGCACACTCAATTCAAGAGCTAAAACAAAACGTGTGATTTTTATATTGATGACAGCATGGATGCAGCAGTGAACTCAGTTTTCTCAAATCAACAGAACAATCTGTTCTCATTGAGAGTGCAGCGAGACCTCATAGTCGAACAGGCGCAGCAGGAAGGAGATCACGTTTAACAGGCCAGTCTGAGCCCGAGCGGGAGGTCAGGAGGGTTGATGCGGAGGGAAGCACTGCTCCGTCTGACAGCTCACACACATATATACACACAGAAGCTGAACTCATTAAGGATCTGACAAAGGCGCCTCAGCCCGGCCAGAGCCCTAGCACACATGCCGCTAACAATGCTACGATGCTACTGTGTCTCTTGCTGTGGTGTGTGAGGAGGACATACAGACTCCTCATTACACCCTACTGTTCTCCACTGCCTGGAAAGTTTGACTTGTCATCTCTGTGCAACAACAGTACAGCAGAATTCAAACACTTTGACATTAGCTATGAAACCTACATGTCCGGTGGCCTTGAGCTTGAGCCGCCATGTTTCGCTTAATGTGATTTACAAAAGTAAGACATTTTTACTGGATCAACTTTCTTTGCAGGGTCTGAAACAACATTCTTATTAACCCATCATAGCCCTTTGTTTTTAGACAGGATCTCATTGGAAAATGTAGATTTTGGTGAATTTAGAAGCTAATGGATACAGAAGATCTGATTCAAATTAAACTGTTTGATGTTTTAGAAAGAGGCAAGCACCACAAACCATAACAGAGATTGCGCAAATACGACTTGGCAAGTAATCCATCAAAATGTACAATTTTATCTAGACTGCAGTGTTGAGCACTTAGAATTCAAGGTAACATACTGTACTGTAAGGTTTTGAACAGAGGATTTTGAATTGGAACTAGAATTTACAGTAAGAAACACAACATTGCTTAACAAGGAATGTGAAATAGTACTTGCAATTCAATCCTAAACAAGCTTTTTAAAAAAAAAAAAAAGAAAAGAAAATACACCATTACATGAGTAATTTTGCATATGCATGATTATATATATATATATATATATATATATATATATATATATATATATATATATATATATATATATATATATATATATATATATATATATATATATATACATACATACACATACTTTAAAAAGCAATAGCTGTTCTCACAAATAAAATTAAGTGTAGTTAACCTGTTATTAATAAGTTTGTTCACCTTACAATATTAATACAAGTAATCTCAACTTTTTAGCACATTAAGTTGTTAAACTAAATAGATTCAAGTAATCTTGACTTACAATATTATTTATTTACAACTTCTGAAAGAATTAAAACTTAATCAAGGCATAATCAGACATAGGCATAATAAATCTGAACGCTTTTTCAATTCTTTGATGTTCAAAATTTTTAAATATATAAATAGATTGTAATATATTAATAAATTTAATAAACCTTGGTTGACAATTACTCGCTATAAAGTGTTATTTTGTTTATTTTGCATTACGAGGATGCTATATAATACAATCAAATATTTTAGAAGTGTATGTATTAGCTTTTATGGCGACTTGGTGGCACAGTGGGTAGCGATGTTACCTCACATTAGAAAGATCACTTGTTCGAGCCCCGGTTGGGTCAGTTGGCATTTCTGCATGGAGCCATCATGTTCTCCATATGTTGAAGTGTATTTCCTCCGGGTGCTCCGGTTTCCCCCACAGTCCAAACACATGAGCTATAGGTGAATTGAGTAAGCTAAATTGTCTGTAGTGTATGTATCCTGATCCTCCATTATTAGATGTTACGAAACACCAACATGGTGCGGCTAAATATTAAATTCGATATAAACGGCCCTGGCAGTGAGTTAGTAAGGTATTGGTTTTTGTCATTACTTAAAAGTTTTAGTTCAGCTTACTTGATAATTTTAAGGCAACTGGTTTCCTAATTTTTTCCTGCACTGAAAAAAATGATTCAAAGAAGATTCCTTGGATTTACTAAAATTTTTTTACGTTAAGTGGTTGTAAACAATTTATTTGTGTTGAATTTAAACAAACAAATTATGTTGAACATTATTAAACTTAATTTGTTTCTTTAAACTCAACACATAAACTGTTTGCAACAGTTCTGCATGCAACATTTTTTTTAGTGGTAAACACTAATAAAAAGTTAACAAAACTAATTATTTTAAATCAATGGTACTGAAGATTACTTTATTAATAAGTTGTAAATAAGACTATTTGCCAGAATACTCTCATTCCCCTTTCCAATAACAAAATAGTTTAACAAAATTATAAATAAAAATGATAAACTTATGGGATAGGATGTATCTGACCCCACTTTGTTTGAGCAAAATGTACCCCAATGTATCATCCAGGTGATCAGGATATTCAGGATCAATCATGCATGCTTTTTTGGGAATGCAAAAAGTTAACATTTTTCTGGAAAGCAGTACAACACTTTACAAACAAAGCTTTGCAAAATTCATAAGACAATAAACCAACACCATACCTCTTTGGTACAGAACTGAACAAGACACTTGATCCTACTTTTATAAAGAGACTCTGCATCATTTCCCATCTAGCAAAAAAATGCATTTTGCTCAACTGAAACCAACAAAGGCCTCCAATATTTGAACTGTTTATACAACTTTTGAATGAAACAATGCTCTTATAACAATATATATACTACTTAAGAAACAAATGGGATGTCTTTTAAAAAATATGGATGCCTCTAATGAACCTCTGACACCTCAGATGTATTTTCATAATAAGTTTGACTTTACTTAATCACAGCAGAACTTTGTTTATTATAATTTTTGCATTCAGATTTAAAAATTTTTTTATTCATTTATAATTTATTTATTTATTTTATGACTTTTGCTGCTATACTTGTGTCTACTGACGTCCTTGTCTTTTTGAGTTTGTATGTATGTTCATTAAAACCAACAAACAAATAATAAAAAAAATTATTTGTAAATACAAACTGTTTTAGGTTATGCTGACTAAAAATAAACACACTACTTAGAAATTTTAAAGCAATCGGTTTCCTCAATTTTTTTAAGTAAGGTTAACTTATTACATTTTACAGTGCTTATAACCAAACTATTTCACTCTATACCCTTTAAATTCATATTTTATAAACACACATTTACATATAGTGCTCATTTCAGACACTTATATGATCACTTTCTAGAAATAGTTTGTATGTTGTACACATTAATTGATTCATAATTAAAATATCTATAATTCATATAGCAGTTGTATTTATTTCTTGCTATGCATTTCTTTTCAAACCCGCTTTATAAAATTGGGTAGCAAAAAAAAAAAGTAAATAAAAAAAAGTAAAAAATTACAGTCGGCCAATGTCTGTTAATGTTGTTCCATAAATGAAAAAAGAAAGCTGATGCAGTGTTGTCTTACTTTCATAAATGATGTCACACACTTTGTTTCAAGTATCAGGCTGAAAAGAATAAAGGTTAATACAACTCCAGTTTAGACACAAATTAGAAATAGCCATCAGTACTTTAGACAGCATCACAAACCAAAGAACGTCAGAAAAAAATAGCACATGTGTGAGACTCGCTGGACTTACGGCTTTTGGTTTAAATGGTGGCTGAACTTCCCTGTGCTCCAGCTTCTCCCAGTCCATGTAACGGAAGAAGCCATGTTCCCTGATGTCTCGCTCACCTTCTGGACCGCAGCCCAGACGCTTGCCTGGGTGTTTGGTCATCAGCTGAAACAGAGAGAGCCACAGCGATGAGAACACTGGGATAATCATCTGACGTCCGGTCCAGATAGGTGACCCATTTATTTTAAATCCCTTAAACATGGTGCTATTTGTTTGCTTGTTTTCTGCAAAAAAAAAAAAAAAAGTTTGTGGATGAAGCCATAGTATTTTTCTTAAATAATAAGTTACATTTTGGTTTATTTTTAACCAAACCCTATTGTATACCACTTTAAAAGAAACTTACTGTACTTAACTCTCGTATTATTTAGGATGTCAATTTGACCTGATTCTATTTTTAAAGGCCACCTATTATGCCCCTTTATACAAGATGTAAAAGAACTCTTTAGTGTTCCCAGAATGTGTCTGTGAATTTCCAGCTTAAAATACTCATCAGATCAATTATTATACCCTGCTGAAAATGTCAAAGCGGTTTTGTTGCCTGTGGCTTTAAATGCAAATGAGCTGGTTCTCCCCACCTCATACTTCAAATAGAGCGTGGTGTTTGGGGATACCCAGCATCCGATGTCAGAATAAGCATAGCACAATCATGGACAGTATTCAGATACTGATAAAGCAGACGTCAATTTAAAAATACCTAGGTCAAGTCTTAACCAGGATGTTTACATTAGTTATTTGATTTAGTTGTTGTAGAGCAAGGGTGTCCAAATTTGGTCCTGGAGTGCCAGAGTCCTGCTAAGTTTAGCTCAACTTGCTTCAACACACCTGCCAGGAAGTTTCTAGTATATCCAGTAAGAGCTTGATTAGCTGGTTCAGGTGCATTTGATTAGGGTTGGAGCTAAACTCTCCAGGACACCGGCCCTCCAGGACCGAGTTTGGACACCGCTGTCATAAAGTTTATTTAGCCTTACTGTAACAATAAATGAGCCACACACAAACACCATTTCTAAGTTTGCTTTATTCTATTAAAGGTCCTGTTATACTTCAAAGTAAATTATTTTTCATTCTCCATTTGAGGGCAAAAAGAAGTTTGAAAAGGCTGAGCGATGGTATACTGTTTTTTAACACTTCAGCACCCACTGCTGCAGTAGGTGGGCTTGTATATGTATCGTGCAGCTTACATGTACCCCTATGAACAATTGTGGCTGAGAGAGAAGAATGGTTTCATCAACATTTGGCAAACAGCTTTTTCCATGAGAAGCGCCACTACAACATCAGTACAGATAGGAACCTTTGAATGGCACTGTCAATGTGCGCATGCTCATACAAAGACAAGACATGGCACGATGAGATGGGCCACCTCCAAGTCCTAAAATATCTTTACATGCGATAGTATAGGTGTGGACACATCTGAACAAGCTCTGCTACTGGGCTCTCTGGTGTATTCATGTGACTAGAGTTTTATTTTGGATGTTGTTCTCCTGTACAACCCCTGTGAGATGAGAAACAAATTGGGAGAAGGAATCGCACGTCAAAGGTGGACTTCCAGAACACAGCCACCAACTGCATAATCATCATAGACCAATGGTAGCTCAAAGGTGTCGAGGTGCCAAATTGAAAGGCTAACTGAGGAAATGATAACACATGCCTGTCAATCAAGATCTATGGTCGGGGTGACAGGACTTACGTCACAGTGCGGTTGGCCTTGAGATTGAGAATTTTTCATCCTGGATTAATTGTAGGAAATTAAAAAAAGGAATTGTTTTTACCACTCTAATATAAATGTGCACACACTCTTCCTACACACATTTCTGTCCAAACAGCTTGCAAAAGTTTTTTTGCACAATAGGCGCCCTTTAATGTCTGCAAAAACATGGTTTATTTAAAGAGATATTCAAGATACCAACATAATAGGTAGAGTATTAATAATAATAATAATAATTTCTTTCATTTAAATAGCGCTTTTCTGGGCACTCAAAGCGCTTTACACATACTGTAGGGGGGATCTCCTCATCCACCACTAGTGATATAATACGTACAATAAATTACTTGACAAGATTTTGTCGATCAAATTTTATTTTAATAGGAGGGTTAATTCTGGTTGCAATTCACTGCCATTATACTGACAAGTGACATGTTTATAATTGACAGTAGAGCATATGGCATGTGTCATTAGAACAATACAGGGGTGAGTAAATAATGATTATCCCTTAAAGGGCATCTATGATGAAAATCATCTTTAGTAAGCTGTTTGGACAGAACTGTGTGTAGGTATAGTGTGTCCACAGTCATATTGGGGTGATATAAAGACAATAAGTTTTATTTTTTAAATTTCCTGACGTTAAAATAAGATCCAAATCTTTCCCATATTGAGGCTTACCGCAACGTGACATAGGAGCGCAGTTTCCCCACCAACTGGATTGATTGACAGCCACGTATTAACATATCTTCATGGTAACGCGTATAATCATATCAACAACAGGACGTGCGCAAAGCAACTCGGATTAAAAGATCTGTTCAGCTCTCTTTGATCATCAATCATCATCAAATGTGATCAAGAATTAGTTTTACAACTTTAAAAACAACATTTATAAAAGAAGACGCTTCAATCCCGGTTTGTGGATGTTAAATGAGGTTGTTTTGTATATTAACATAACAGATATCCTTACAGCAGTGGATTTAACATGTATCCTGTCACATTTGCAGTGCAAAAACAATGCACAACGCGCACAACATTGTGTGTGACTCATCGATGCAACTCCACAACAAATACATCAAATAATCATTGGGAAAGTTCTCACTGTAGTATTTCTCACAAACGTTACGTGAGGTCTGTTCCTTCATGTCTGTCACTGTGCTGTTTATCTGACGCAGCCGAGACTGAGATTGCGGCACACTCAGAGAACTGGGGAGAACTAACATTAAAGGCACAGGCAACAACAACAGCTACATTGTGGTTAGAGCAGTAAATTTCAACATCCAGAAAGGTATAATAAATCTGATAGGTGTTTTGAGCTGAAACTTTATGGTGCAACACAGGCTCGTTCTGAAAACGTAGCCCCGTGGACGTTCCTGGAGACCGCAATGCAACCAGTTTGTCCAGTTAGCTCGTCGTGTACGTCGGCGGACTTGAGGTGCAGATAGCAGTTGACCACGACAATGACGAAGGGTTAGAGTCCGCCGAACAGCTCCAGAAATCAGGTAAGACAAAAACAGAATCCGAAAAATAAAATGAACAAGTAAATAACAGGGTGAGAATGTGGTACTATTCAAAAACGTGGTCAAAATCAGACGAGGGCTTTTCTTTTTCTGAACAGCTTTTCTAAATCTTTGGTTGGGTTTAGGAAAAGAGGAGGGTGGGTCAGTCGATTGGCTTATCGCCCAGTCAATCACAAGTCACTCGACAGCGGCCTCTAGTGAGTTTACACGAGAACAGCACGGGCGCGAACAGCACTCGCGAGAGACATTTGAGATACAAAAAAACGCACAAAGTGGCCCCCTTTGGATTCGCGAAAACAAAAACTGCAAAAAAACGTACCTCCCGGGACGTTTTTTTTACTGTCTCCTGAAATGTCCACGGGACCAAGTTTTCAGAATGAGCCTGGGTTGAACTTTACAGAGACATTCTGGAGATACAAAAAAACTTATCTTAAATCTTGAAAAAGGGGTAAAATAGGTGTCCTTTAAAACACATTTAATTTAGGCCTTCTGACTAAACACATATTGACCTTGTTACAGGATAAACAGACAGTTCTGTCCACCATACCACACAATTTGTATACAGTACATGACATATTTTTATTAATGCGAGTATGTCATTAATCATGATTAATGTGTAGCACAACAAGCCCAAATATTTCATTCAAAACAGCTACAGACTGGCCATAGTCCAAGAGTTTTGTTCAATAATTTTATTTTATGGGTCAGAAATGCAGGTTGCATTAACATCCCAGGAGGTGGTAAACACTAAACCCACAGCAATGAGAATGTGATTACAGTTTTTAGGTCAAATAACTTTTTCTTTCCAGCTTTAGCACTGTCTCCCTTCATCAACTTACTTTTGTGCACACACACACACACATAGAGTACCCATAGCTTTTTTCCCCTTTCACTGACAGCTGTTTTATTCCCCGGTAGAACATGCTATGTTGAATATAACAAAATTGTTAGGCTATTTTATTCCAGTGAGTGACTTTAGCGTGTGTAGGAGAGATTAGGCGAGGGGAAAAGCTCAACAACTTGCCGCTTTTTCTTCAGCGCCTCAGTGCGCATGAAAAATTGATGGCAGCAGAGAAAGTCTTTCCAAGCTCTTGTAAGGCATAGGTGGAGGTGCTGGTGGAAGGGAAGGCACATGACTCTGCTGAATGCTGGAGCATTAACCCTCTCTGGATCAGGAAGGCCTATGCTGAGACGGGGTCAGCTGGGTCGGGTCAGGTCAGGCTAGGCTGGATCATTTCCTGACCCACAGTGTCGTCTGGACTCATGGTGTTTGCTAAAAAGTGTGTGCTCTACTGCCCTCGGATGCTTTGTCATCATTGTCATCATTAATGTATACAGCAGGGGCAGGACTCACTCACTCAGTGTGTGGCAGAGCTGACATGAGCAGCTGGACCAATGCTGAGCCACAGAGACACAGCTGGCTAATTCTCTCTCTGCATCCGTTTGTCCATCCATCCAGCCACCCATACATACTGTCTATCCAAAAAACATCTATTTATCTATCTGTCTTTTCATCCAACCATCTCTGCATTGTTATATTAATTTATTCTATCTGTCCGGCCACATATCTGTCAGTCTTATGTTTATGGTAATATCTGTTCTATCCATCAATCTATTTGTACATCCACTCATCTGTCTGTCTATCAATACATTGCTTGTTCTTTCTTTTGTTACGTATATCCATCTCCCCATTCACCCATTTATCTATCTATCTATCTGTCTGTCTGTCTGTCTGTCTGTCTGTCTGTCTGTCTGTCTGTCTGTCTGTCTGTCTGTCTGTCTGTCTGTCCGTCCGTCCGTCCGTCCGTCCGTCCGTCCGTCCGTCCGTCCGTCCGTCCGTCCGTCTGTCCGTCCGTCCGTCCGTCCGTCCGTCCGTCCGTCCGTCCGTC